GCCGGCCCACAACAGCCGGCCAAGGGTGGCCGGCACCACCATGCGCCGAGCTTGGCCGGCACCCGCGGCCGGCCCATCGATTTTGTGGCCGGCACTGGTGGCCGGCCAATCGGATTTTTGGCCGGCAATGTGGCCGGCTACCATCCGAAGCAAAACAAAAAAATTTCAAATTTTTTTCGATCGAAATTTAAAAAAAAAACGTACCGATCGAACGAAGAACCCCTTGCCGCCGCGTTTCGATGGTCCCGACATTTTTTCGGAATTTTTTCGGACGTCGAAAGCTCAAAAAACGAGAGAGAGAAAGAAAGTAGAAGAGAGAGAGAAATGGATGAAGGTAAAAAAGACTTTTAGGGGCGGTAAATATCGAAAAAGGGGCGGTGTTTAGCGGTTCACTTGTATAGTAATCTCTTTATATATATATATATAGATATAGATTATTATATTCGTTTTTAATAAGCCTTTCTTCTATGTTTTAAAACCCTAATAATTTCTTCCTCTGTTTTACAATAACTTGAAAATTTATTCGCTTCCCTTTTCCCGATCTTTTATTCGCAGTAATTTTCTTAAATTAAAGGTTGGATGCCTCTGATTTTCTCTAATTTTCTGTTACTTTTTCGAATTTTGGGTCGAAATGGGTTAAATAATAGGTTTTCTAAAGCTATTTTTGTATTTTTTATGCTTAAATTTTATATTTTTGGGTGTTTTTGCTGGATCTGCTTTAAAATATTCAATTCTTAAACTATTTTACAACTGTACTAACTTGAATTTTAATTCGCGTAATATTTTATTTTAACCTTTCTTTATTCTTCTCGTTTTCTGTGTTTTTTTTTTCCCCTTCGCTCTGATCACTCACTGGTTTGCTCGTGAGATGAATCGAAAAGCTGTTTAAATTTGCGCCACACTAATTTTAGGGTTTGAGATTTCATTTGAAGTAATTTTATTAGCTACTGTGAAGTGTGAAGATTGAAGAGATCTTCATGTAATTTTTCAGAAATCTTCAGGGGCAATTCCGGCAGTTCAAGAATGTCCGGTGCATCTGAATCAGCGGCGGCCATGGCTACCCGCGACATTTTCGGCGTATCTCCTACCGCCGTTCACAACCCGGCACCAACTGACGCTTCTCAGCCTCAGATGGAACATCACATGGGAATTTCCTACAAACCGGACAACGGTGCACCGCAACTGGGGCCGCCGCCGCATTACCAACCCATCCCCGCCGGCGCCACCGCGACCTATCACCAAGTGAACATGAACATGAACTCCGGGGAGCAGAAACGGAAGAGGGGGCGGCCAAGGAGGTATGGCCCCGACGGAGGTATGTCTGTCTCCACGGCTCCGCCACAACAGCAGCAGCAGCAGACTTTCTCCCCGCAGCCACCGTCGCCCGAGGTGCCTCTTCGGGCGGAGATTCCTCCACCCGGCTCGGCCTCACCCACCGTCAAGAAGGCCAGGGGCAGACCTCGTGGTTCGCAAAATAAAAAGAGGAAAAGTGATTTCACGGAAGCTTCAGGTAAATCGAGATTGGAGTCGTCTGGTATTTAAAGGTTTTTTCGATTGGGATAATGCCATAGATAACTGTTGTTTTCATAGAAAGATTCTCTGACCAAATCATGTGATAGCATCATTTCTTGTCTGTGAGTGTATATAAACATATAATAATGCAGTTTATTTTTTTTTATTTTTTTTTTGAGCAATTTGTTATCAAAATATTATCATTGACAAACTCTGAGGATTAGAAAGGCCTTTTTGGTTCAGCTCCATATGTTTCTGCTTCTTGTGAGTCAAAATTTTACGAGTAATTTCCTAGTATTATGTTACAAAATGGCTGAAAAGATATACATTATTGATTTCTTTAGAACAATTTTATCTTCCTGAGGGCTTATATTGTTGTAAAAATATTTAACTTTGATTGTTTTTTAAACTATGCTTGGTCAAGATTGTAAGTTTTACGTTATTGTATGTGTCTTGCAATCTGTGAGCATTCATTTATAACTGTCTTGTTTTGTTAAGTTGAACTTTATATTTGGTTCGTTTTCTAGTTACATTTTGGCTGAAGAAGGTTATTAGTACTTTGTTAGCAGTCCTTAAGTTTTTGTTGTAACTATAAACATCTTCTTTGAATTTATGCTTGCAGGCTCAGCTGGTACTGCATTGTTACCCCAAATAGTCGATGTGAATGCAGGAGAGGTCAAATATTTTACGTTTTGTTCATTTTCTTTAGCGAATGGAACTGCCTTCGATATTTAGTTTTGAGCAGACAAATTTATGACTTTCTCATGCCCCTGAAACCTGAAAGTTATATCAGAACTAAGTGCTCCTTGTGAATGTGTTAAGAAATGTTTTTCTGTTTAGCCTACCCCTTTCCCTTAAAATTCCAATCTAGATTGAATCTAGGAATTTTAAATCCTTAAGAACCAATCATTGAGATGTCTGTGAAACCTCAAAAAATAACGATTGCAGACTTCTTTTGCTATCACTTTGACATTTTCCTGTCATACATGGGATTTCAGTTGCATCTTTCAGTTGCATCTTATGTAGAATTCCTTAAAATCCTCCCCCATCCTTTTGTCCTGTCAAAATCCATCGAACAACAACATAACCATGATTTTATTTTAGTTAAGGTTGTTCACCTGTTCAGTCCGTTCTTATTTATTTGCTTTTTTGTACGTAATAGTGGTGTAGTATGAATTTCCTTAATCATAGCCTTATTAGTAAATTATTGAATAACTGGTTATTAAATTAATTATAAACCTTTAAATTGAGATAATTGGTGCAAAATTTGATGGAATAAGCATCCTGCATAATAAAATAGTAGTGTTGTTTAAGGCACCCACAGACTATGTCAATAGTGACCTTAGAAAAGGAACATTGTGCAAAAGCTAGGGAGTGGAAGTTTGGCAACATGTTGGAATGTAGCATGGGATTATGACTATCGGAGTTCATTGTTCAGACAATTTCATAGGACTCTGAGAATAAAAAAGAGGTATCTTAATCAACCAAATTGGAATTTCTTGGATTTGACTCTTAAGAGGTGTAATTTCTGTTACAACTAACATGTTTAACACATCCATTAATAACCCTACCTTTCTGCATCATTGTTCTCCCCTTATGTTGAATTTACTTTGTATAGAAGCACCAGTTCTTGGTTATATTAATTAATTATCGCATGAACACACCCCACATTTGTTAAGCATGTGGATGGATTATGGCTTATAAGTTCCAGGTTCTTCCCTTGGAAGCCTCTATTTTGAGGGATCAACCTATAAAAGTCCACGCCATTGGCCCATAGTAGACAATACCTTTTGACCAGATGCAAGTTACCCCATGCCTTGTCATCCATAATACATGTGCATTTCTCACCCTAGATTTCTGGACATGCAAGTCCACTCATATATCAGAGATAGATACATCCGACATAAATTTAGCATGTTGTAAACTCTGCTTTTTAACTGTGGCAATAAATATATCTCACATCGACCTTACTATGGAAGTTCATTCTGGCGTATAAGCAAAGGCCATGGCCCTTTTTCCCAATATAAGTTTTTTTTTCTTCTCCTGCAGCAAACTCTTTGGCGGATACAAGCTGATCAATGCGTGTTACTCTACACCTTTTTTAGTTTCCCTCATAGTTTAAAATGGCAACGCCATGGCGACGCCTCGAGGCGAGGCGACCGAGGCGAGGGTCACATCGCCTCGCCCCTGCCTGAGGCGACCCTGTTCGCGAGGCGCTCGCTTCAGGTCGCCTCGGCTCGCCTTTTCGTATGGGGAGAGGCGCCTGTGTGGCCCGCCTCGTCGCCTTTCAGGGGAATTAAAGGCGCATACCACCCCTTATTTGTTTAAAAAAAAATAATAAATGCGTGTTAACACTTTCTGGAAAAGAGAATAAAAAAAACGCAAATCGGGCTCTTTTTTCCTTCATCTCCCAGACCCACGAAGCTAGGGTTTTTACCGGACTGAGGACATAAGCAAACAAATCTTCACCTTAAAAAACCTTCAATTACTTTCTTAAGTGGTGTTTGTGTTTCAATTACTTGCCTTTATGGGAGATTTGATGTTACTTTTATCATTTGTACACAACTATATAATTGCACAATCTATAATATAGTTTTTCTAAATTTTGGTGATATGTGTAGCCGAGGCCTCGCCATGGCGAATCGCCTCGCCTCGTGGCGAGGCCATGGGCCAATCGCCATTTAAAACTATGGTTTCCCTCTGTTAGATTCTATTTTAAAAGGAGTCTTAACTGAGACTGACACATGTATTGTATTTGTTATGGTTTTAATAGATTAAGAGACTGCCTTCCACCTTTGACATAGCCTTATCACCCCTTTTAAATCTGATGTGGCACATTTGAGTGTGTAAGATTTTTACTTTTAACGATTGGAAAGCGAGTGTGCATCATGTGATCATTGATTTTACTCTGTAGTTGTTTGGATCAGAGTTTTTTGCTTGGCATAGATCTTGATGTCCATGGTTTTTGATACTCCATGAATGTGAGTGGAATGTACGTAATTTGTTATCAATTGGATATCCACTTTCTTTTCAGGACATCTCTTCGAAAATATTAGCTGTTTCGCAAAATGGCCCCAGTGCTGTTTGTGTTCTCTCGGCAAGTGGGGCAATATCGCACGTTACACTCCGTCAGGCTGCCACATCTGGTGGAACAGCGACCTACGAGGTTCTTTCTGTGTATTTTGTTTATTCGTCATAGATTTATATTCCATATATTTTTTTTTTTTTGGTTCAAGGATCTTGGTTATCTATATTTAAAATCTCTCTGTTTTTTACTCACAGCATGAAATGTTAAAAGATTTCATTTTTTTTTGGGCTTGGTTGGCTCGTTACTTCCTTTGTCACATGTGTAATGAATTTAAGAATGATGCCATTTGCCTATTGTTTGATGTTTCACTCTTAGATGCACTGCCAATGTATTGTATATCTTCTGTGGATGCCTTCTTTTTACTTGCCATGTCAGTATATTCCCGGATTTGTTTGGATTTTGGTTGTTCCATAATAAATGTTTTTACGGGTAACAATTATTTCTGTTTGTGTAGGGTCGATTTGATATTTTGTCGCTGTCTGGCTCGTTTATGCTACACGAAGTTGGTGGCCAAAGGAGTCGGACGGGTGGCTTAAGCGTTGCTTTATCCAGCCCAGATGGGCGGGTGTTGGGCGGCTCTGTGGCTGGTCTATTGGTGGCAGCATCCCCGTCACAGGTAATATTTGCTTGTTCAAATCAATGGTGTCTGTTATAGCAGTAGCATGTGTAAAGTGGCAATTATTGGGTACATCCCGTTGCTTTGTAGATATTGGTAATTCTAATATTTCTATAAAACATGGAGGCCAAGCATTTTCACTGGCAGAATTGATGATTTCCTAAAATTTCTGCCCAAGACGTAGTAATTTAGTTTTTTCAGTGTAAATTTTTGTGTCTTGTTCTGAATTGTTTGGTTAGAATCTATAATAACGAGGGGTGGGAGGTTAGGTTTCTAGTGTATAGTACAACTTCTACTGACAAATAAGCACATTTTATTAAATCACTAGTTCACCTACACTCTAACAAATCCCAGCTTTTCTATGCAAATAGTACCATATTTTCATCCTTCTGACCTATTATTATTAACTTATGCAATTTTCGACAGTTACATCCCAACCATATCTGGTTGCATTTGTGTAGGCATTCAAATTTAATTTGCCTCCTTAAACTGTAACGCGTGACTAATGCGAGTGCATCTCTTTATTTTTTTTTTTATTTTTTTTTATTTTATTTTTATTTTTCTATTCTGTGTGAGATAATGATGATACAAATGTTGAATGGTTTTGTCCCTATTCGGTAGGGCTGAGCATGGGCTCGGGGATTTCCGAGCCGTTCCGAAAACCAAACCGAAATCACTCTGAACCGAAAAATAACGGTTGACCGTTTCACTTTCTCCGAACCGAAAAATAACCGTTGACCGCTTGACTTTCTTCGAATCGAACCGAACCGAACCGAATAATTGGTACGGTTCTGGAGATTTCACAAATATTCGTACCGAGAATCAAACCGAACCGTCCCGTATTGTATCGAACCGAAGAACCGAAATTAAGAACCGAATTATAACATTAGATGTGTTATTAGTATATTTTATGTCAACTTTGATTCTATATAATATAGTAATAAATATTAACCTTCACTTAACTTTCATGTTTAGTAATATTTGATCTACAATTGAGTTTTTTCTATTATAAAATAATTATTTAAAATAATATGAAAGTTTAAAGAATATTTTTTTAAGAAAAAAAAATATTATATTTTATTTGGATTATAAATTTTCAATATTAGTTGCACAAATTTAGTTGTAACTAAAATTTAGAGTTACTTATAAAGTTGATTTCGAAATAAAATTTTTAATGTGAGGAAATACAGATGAATGTTGGTTTTATTAAAGCATATAAAAATTAAATAACTAAAATTTATAGTTACTTATAGATGATTTCAAAATAAAATCTTCAATATGATGAATTATTGATGAATGTTGTTTATTTAAAGCATATAAAAATTAAAATATAACTAGGTAGTCATTCAAAAATAATTTAAAAAAATAAAAAATCTCTGAAGATTCGAACCAAATCATACCGAACCGAACTGTCCCAATAGTCCCGAATACCGAACGGAACCGAAAAATAAAAATCTCCGAACCGAACCGAACCGAACCGACTTTTTAGTACGGTTCCGGAGATCGAATTTTGGGATCTCCGAAGTTTGGTACGGTTCTGGAGATTTATCTATCTCCGAACCGTACTGACGCTCACCCCTACTATTCGGTAGTGATTTTTATTTGTTTATCAATTTGTTGTTGAATCGTTTTCGCTTGCAGGTTGTAGTAGGATGCTTTGAGCCAGATGGTCAGAAAGAATCTGGACAAAATCACATGATGCGGCCAATGGTTAACCATGGTGGTGCTGTGGGTCCCAACAGCTCACCTTCAACAGGGAGCCCGGGTGAGTCCTCTGGTGGACCCGCTAGCCCTCTAAATATGAGCTCGGGTGCATGCATCGACCTCCCAGATGGCATGCCGTGGAAATGAAATAATGCCGTCATAGTTAGGACCGTGTAACATATGTACTTTCTGTAATATGGGCAGTTTTTTCAGAACAAGTACATCTCACTTCTTGAGTCGAGTCTTATTGGTTATTCTTCTATAGTCTTATGGAATTATTCTTAAATAGTTAACCGAGTTTCCTTTGCTTTGTATTGCTGCAACTGTTGTTTTCCCGGTAATAGTGATTACTGATTATTTACCGACTAGTACAACACCCGTGTATTACACGGGTGCTTGTTAAAAAATTATTCTTAAATTTTAAATTAATGAGAAAAATTATTTTAAATTTTATTTACTTTTGTGCAAAAAATACATATTATTGTATATTTTAGAATGACATTTGTTACTTGTGCGACTTACATGTGTTATATTATAGTCATTTTTATAACTCATATCATGCATATAACTAATTGAAATATAAATACATTGATTAAATGAATAATTTTATTTTCTAACTAATATTTATTTTTTAAAAAATAAATATAATTTATTTTCTTTATACATACAATATTTATGTTAAAATTGAAGCTCATATGATTTATTGTAATATTATATATGTAAAATTGATAAGAAATATAAAAGTTATTAACTTTTAAAATACATTTACACTTCAATGGTTATAATAAAGAAATTATATTAAAATAAAATTAATACATGTAACATGACCATAAATAATAATATAATTATGAATATCCGGACCTAATTATTTTTGGATTAAAAGTAAATTAAAATCTACCAAAGTCTTAATAACTAAGAATGTAATTTCGCCATGTAGGATCTCAAAGCATGCGAGTCTGTCACTTAAACTCAACATGTTCTGAACCAATATATGCTAGTACAACACCCGTGTATTACACGGGTGCTTGCTAATTTTTTTCTTAAAATCTAAAACTAATGAGATAAAGTAATTGAAAATTTAAATACCTTTTACAAAAATATATATATTATTATATATTTAGTATGACACTTTTTATTTGTGCGACTTACCTTTGTTATATTATAATAATTTTTTAACTTACAACATATAACTACATTGAAAATAAATATATCAATTGTTATATAATTTTATTTATCTAATGAATTTTAATAAATATTATTATCTTTATTATTATAAAGATAAATATAATTTATTTATTTCATATATACAATATGGATGTCAAATCGAAGATCATCAAAAGATGATTAATTTGATATATAATATATGTAAAACCGATAAGAAACAAAAAAGTTACCAACTTTTAAAATACATTTACAATTCAATAGTTAATTGAAGGAAACAAATCAAAGTCAGTGATATATTAGTCACTTATTGCCTCACTATGTAAAATTACAAATAATTAAAGGGTTATATTAGTACAAGTGATATTAAAATACCTAAGTTAGATAAATAATATTTATGGAATGTCCAAACCTAGATTATTAATTATTAATATATCAATATTATTTATCCAAACCTAATTACGAAGCATGATTTTTCGCCAAGTAGGATTCCGAAGCACCAGAAACAGCCACGTAGGCTCAGCGCATTCAGGAATTATATATAGGGAGGATTAGTTCCTGTTAGAAAATAAATTGCTTAAAATTGGGTTTGACTTGATTTTTACTGGTTTTTTAATGGCTAGACAATTAATTCGTGTTGAATCAAATTATGTAAAACAAATAATACGTTCTGAGTAGATATTTGTTGTATATTTGTTTTCTCAATATTGATTTCCAATGAAGGATAGTAAATGATTAATTGAGTCATGAATTAGCATGTAAAACAATGTGGAGTTCTAAGAGTTAAAAGTCGTATTCCACATTGAACTCTTAGGGGGTGTATTTAATTAGGATATTTAAAGACTTTTTAAGACTTTAGAAATTATGATGTATTCAATTTAAATTTGTGAAGACTTTTAAAAGTTTTGGGGTATTTAATTGAAATTTTAAAGTCTTACAAAATCTTGAGATATTTAACTTATTTGAGACTAGGATTTGTTAAGACATTTAATAGTTGGTAGGATTTATAAAGAAAAAACTTATACGAAATTTCACTTCAAATCTCACCTCCAGACTTAGGCTTTCACGAAATTTCTCCAAAATCTAAAAATATTAACAAATCTCAAATCTTAAAAAGTCTCAAAATGTCACTTGAAATGCAAATTGAATATCGTATATTCATTTGAGATTCTTAAAGTTTTATTTATTTATTTATTTATTTTTTAATTTAATAATTTTGATGTATTTAATTTTTTTTAACACTTTTTAAAATCCTGTGGAATTTATTTGTGGTTTTTATAAGTCTTAACAAAATACGAGTTATTTATTTTATTTGATATTAAGATTTTTTAGGATCTAATTAGATATTATAAATTTTTCTTTCTCAGCCGAAAACCTCCGTCTCTCCCAATCTAAATCTCTCGGCCCAAATCCTCGAGCACGGTAAGCTCTCTCAGCCGGGGTTAATCGTCGGTGGACGGCCTCCTCCGCTCTTCCATGGTCGCGGCACTCCCGGCCTCTGTTTTGGTTCCACTGGATTAGGGCTAGGGTTCCAGCGGGCGGATTTTCTTTCTGCTCGAAGGACGACGGAATTCAGTGGTTTCGGGGCACGACGAGGTGTGGTTGAGCGCGAAAGATGCGTGTATCGCCTGAATCGGTTTGGTCGAGGTGCCTCTTATCGGACTGTTTGGTGGGTTGCTGTAGGCGGATGTCCGACTTCAGTAAAGGTCTGGTAGTCGATTCCTCCTTTTTGGGGGTGGTGGCTGGAGCTTCTCCTTGCAGGCTGAGCTTATTGGAGGTGGTTCTTTCGGGAATGGTCAGTGCGGTCGAGCAGGAAAGCTATTCATCCCCTTCCTCCCCTTTCTCGGTTTTTGAGTTGGGGAGAGGCCGACGGTCCCCGGAGGAGGCTAGTGGTGTTAGGTTGCTTCGGGTGGGTGTCAGATCGGCTAGTGGTGTTAGACGGTTGGGGGTTTTGTGGCTTTTTGCGGCTGGAGTGCGGGTCGGGTTATTGGTTTGTTTTTTAGGCTTGGGTCATCGTCTTGCTAGGCCTTTTGCAGTGACGGGCGTGGTATCGGAGTTTCGGAGCTCTCCTCGGAATCGAATTTGTCTGCTGCCTTTTTCGGATGTATCTACTGAGGGAGGCTACGTTGTTAGTGTGTAGTAGGTCTTTCGTTTTTTGTCATTGTTTTACTCGTTGTTTGTGTCAGTGTTTTTGTTTGTTGTTGTGTTTTAGGTTTGGGTCGTTGGCCTCAGTTAGCCCGAGTGTGAACTTATTATCCTTTTGGGACCACACACTCGGGCATTACCCTGTTGGGGCCGTTTTAGTGTTGGGTTATTGTGTTGTGTGGTTATTACCCTGTTAGGGTCATCTCTAGGCGGGCTTCGTCCTGTCCTCTCATGTTTATTCAGCTGGTGGCTGTGTTTGTCAGCTGACGGTTGTATTTGCACATTTGTGCCCGTTTATAGGCTAAATTGCAAAAACTAGCCACTAACTTAGACGGGTTGGCAATTTTACCCACCTTCTTTTCATTTTGGCACTTTTAGCCAAAACGTTTTAAAAATTCGGTCTTTCTACCCAAATCCGGTCATATCGTCGGAACTCCGCCTGAGAACACCGAAATTGCCAGCGTGGAACTACACGTGGACACTTAATCCACATCAGCTCGCACCTCTATAAATACCCCTTTCTACGCGTATTGCCTTCACATTTGACAGAAAAATTTGGGGAAAAATTGCGAGCCAATTTGAAACCCTAAAATCGCGCAGAAAACCCTAATGCTCGCGAAATCTACTCGTTCGGCATACGATTGAAGAAATTCGACTTAAGAGTGAAGCTCTAACAAGATGTCTGACATCAGCAAAGATTATCCAAATTGCAATTGTGGGCGGAGAGCTGAAATTCGAACTTCGTGGAAAACTCCCAATTGTGGAAGAAGATTTTTTTCGTGCCTCCATTGGAATGTATGTCGCACAACTTTGTAATTTGATGTTTTTAGCTGAATAAATGATTTGTAATTTAATTTAGTTTTTTTTTTTTTTTGCTCAAATTAAGGAAGGAGGATGCAATTTTTTTGGATGGGTCGATCCTCCTCTATGTGCCCGTGCTCAACGAATAATTCCTGGGTTGCTCAAGAAATTGAATGAAATGGAAGAATCGACTAAAAGGGCTGACATTGAAAAGATGGAGCTTCTCTCTGTCCTTGAAGAAGAAAACAAGAAAATGAAGAAAAAGAAATTGGAGTTTGAAGAAGAAAACAAGATTTTGAAGGCAGAAATTCTGAAATTGAAAAATGAGATTACCAAAAAAAACAAGACATTTGAGGATAATAGTAGGATTATTGATAATATTAATTTTCATCTTTTTCTGTGGCTCTCAGACAGTTGATGAATAATTGATATTAGGTTTATGTATTTGTAATGTTATTGATATTGTAGTATTTGAATGTTATTGATATTAAGTTGATGAATATTTGTAATGTTATTAACATTGTGGCCCTGAGACAGTGTTTTAATGGCATCAACATTTTGGAAGCTATTAATATTAGTGGTATTTACATGTTAGTTTGATTACCATTGTCATTATCTGTTAGTTTGTTTCTGAAATACATGTAGCACAAAAAAATGTTAACAAAACTTCACATAAGAAACAAACACTGCACAAACTCATTACAACTCATATAAAAACCATAACAAATTGATTACCAAATCCAACACATATTTCCACAAGTCATGCACAAAATCCTGCAAACTATATCACTAAATCCATATAAAAAAACCTTACCAAAGCCATATCAAAAACCATAGCAAATCCATTACAAAATCCAACACAAAAATAACTACCATTTCAGAAGTTTAGACTTCAAAAGATCCCTTAAGAAGTTCAGAGTTCAACACAACTATTACAAAATATATAACAACCCATTATCAACCTTCTTCAGCAGACCCAAAATCATTTGTCATTGCCATGGCCATTTTGGTTAAGTACCAGGAACTTTTTTCCCTTATCA